TGTTTAATAATTTATAATTATTAAACGGTTGAATATTTTTATATAAATATTTTATTTTTGTTAGGCATGTATTAAGTTGAAATAGCAATAAAAATACTAAGCTAAAAAAGGTAAGAATGGAAATAGTTTTGAAATAACGTTTATTTTTAGGAAACTTTTTGTACACTATTGCCCAATATATCTTTTATATAATGTCAATTTAATTATGGAAAGGTTTTAATAGCTTTTAAAAATTTTACACTTAGCTTTCAATCTTATGGTAATATATTACCTTTTATAGAGATAATTAATTTCACTTACGGCACATTATTACCTTTTAAAGAGGAAATAAATTTTTATTACTTTTTATGAAAATTTTGGTTATAAACTAAAATATACATTATTAAAATAAATATAAATAATGTTAATTTTTTACCTTTGATGTTAATTTTTTTGACTCCAAAGTCAACTAAATTTGCACCCCGCAATTGACGTGGTTAGGGGGATGAGTTGGGGTCGAAACCGGGTGGGGGGTTTACCGGGGGGCTAGAGGGGTTAGGAGCTATCAATTTGCGAACGAAGCACCATAGGTGTCCTAATTGAGTGAATGGCTTCCGTAGCCACTCTTTTTGAGTGACTCTAGAACCCAGCCGTTGATATAATTACGTTATATTAATATTCCATCCATTCGGAAATGATTTTCTCATTTGACTTTTCGCGGTCTCCAATTTATACTTTGACCATAAATATCTACATTTATACATAGATATATTTTATATTTTGTTTCCTTTTCGGAAACCATTTACATATTTACGTTACATTATTACCTTTTATGGAAATATATTATTTTTGGATGAAATAATTATTACCTTTTCGTCGAAATAGTAATGAAAATAGTAAAATAAAAATGTTAAGAATATAAACAATTACAAAAAGATGACTGTGTTTGATGTACCATACAGTAATAACAATAATAAATGTGTAGGGTGCCATTAATTATGGTATATCGCAAAATAGACGCCATTACTAAAAAGTTTTCATTTGTTAAAGGACTAGGTTTGTTCTGATAAAATCATAAATTATAAACAAAGAGACGTCATTAGTTATAGTGTGTCACAAAATTATACTTATTATTATGAAAGGGCTGACAAGGCTAGCTTATTGATACATTTCCCAAAAGAAGTCAAAGTATTTTTTAATAAAAAGTTTTCATTTCTTTAATAAAAAATTTTAGTTTTTATTAATAAGCTAAATTTATTATACCTTATTTTTGTTGAAAGAATACAAAAATACATGTGTATATCGTAATAATACGGAGTAATAAACATGATAATAAGTGTAATAATAATGACAAACGAAGAAGATAATTATACCTTATTTTGGTTGGAAGAATATAAAAAATATATATAAGTGTGAGATAATATATGGTAAGTGCATGTTGAATTTAGAAATGGTAATTTGTCTTCTATTTGTTCAAATAACAATGGTTACTTGCACATGTTTATATAGTAATAATAATAATAACAACAACAACAACAACAACAATAATAAATGTGAATGGTGCCATTAATTATAGTGTACCTCAAAATAGAGGCGTGAATATTTAAAAAGTTTCCATTTATTACAGGACTAGGTTTGTTCCGAAAATTATAAATTATAACAAAAATTGACGCCATTAAATAGAAAAAAGGAACAAAAATTTTCATGCTATAAATACGGTCATTTTCAATCACTTTCGTAATCAGCCTCTCTAATTTTTTTTATGTTTTTAAATAATATTCCTTTATTTTTATGTGGTATATAAAGTTCTCTATTTTATTATTAGTTCGGGATGAAAAATGATAAAAAAAACCATTAAATATGAACAAAATTTGTGGCCAACATTTTGATTTGACTTATTTATATTTTTAAAACTATACACATAAATTTAAGATTTAATTGCAGAAAGGATATTATTAGATAATTGGTGATGTGGTTGACATTGAAAATACCAACGAATGATGTTATCTTAGTTCCAGGTTTGAGTGCAAAAACTATGACAGATATTATCCTGGAGGAGTGTATATGTTAAATATTGTAATTCAATAATTTTTAATTACTTTGTACCTAAAAATAATAAAATTTATATATTCTGTTAGATATTAATTTGTATTTTTAAAAAATGATCTTAATCTAATAACTTAAATATGACCCGTGCAACGCACGAGTGTGGTACTAGTGTATTTCTAAAAAGCTCTTTTGGATTTAGCATGTTGTACGAAAACTTTCTCTTTTTAAATGATCAAGTGTTTCAATGGTGCACTTAAAGTCTACAAACAATACTTTGACTATCTACTTTTTCTATCTTTTTTCTCTTAATTTTTTCCTCCCATTTTATCTTCTCATGAAAAGTGAAAAACAACCATAAATGTGAAGAGAAAAAAGGTACCTGAAGTAGTTTAAAATGTACGTAGTATATCTTTTGGCGCCTCAATTCTTAGAACCCCACACCCCAACCAAACCCCACACCCCAACCAAACGAATTATGTGGAGGGAGGTAAATCAAGAATTCAGTGGATCATTAACACTATGTTTGGTTCATGGAATTTGGAAGGAAAAGAAAAGAAAATGGTTTTCCATTAGTTTCCTCACCAAAATGGGAGGAATTTGGTTTTTCATCCTCTTAATACATTTTGCTTTCTCATTTTCTTTTCCTTCCACTTTTCTTTTCTTTTCCTCTCTAACCAAAAAAGAAAAAATGTTTTCCTTCTCATTTTCTTTTCCTTTCCCTCTCAAATTCCTTGAACCAAACATAGTGTAAAAGGAAAAGCCAACCCCACAGATATGCAAGGAGCTCATTCTTATCGCCTAAAATGGCCAAAGAATATCACTCATACACAACACGCCGCAGAGAATCAAGTTTTGCACCTTGTTGCAAATCTGCCTCTTCCTTAACCAATTGGGCTATGCCCTCTTGCGGTCGCAATATATACCGTATAACCGGTTGTACTGCCTTTCCCCTACATCTACATTGAGCATACATTTACGAGTAACTGAATATTCATTTTTCTAAAATATAGTTATGTAAAAAAAATGAGTATTTAGTTACTCGAAAATGAGTACCTTATTACTCAAAAATTAATAATGAAATAAATGTATAGGAAATATCGTACATCCCATTTCGTGATACTCCCTCCGTCCACAAATAAACTTTACATTGCGCGTTACGATGTTGGACTGAAGTTATTTTCAAATCATTTTATATGAAAAATGGTGTAGAATTGAAAAATAAAAATTACATATTAAAAAACTATATCAAAAGATCTACAAAACTAGAGGTGACATGACTATATTATTTTATCAAATAGGTGACGAAAATAGGCCAAGAAAGTGAGTAAATTAAAGTTTGACCATGTGAATAGTGAACGTAAAGTTTATTTGTGGACGGAGGGAGTATATGCCATTAGGTCAATTGTTAAAGTATAACACTATAACCAAAGCATACGAGTAACTTTCGTGGTATCAAAATGAACGAATCAAAATAAAAGACTATTTTTTCAAAGTAAAATATTGCATCCTTTATAGGAAACAGTAAAAAGATTCTAAAAGAACATAATTTAGTAAGAAATTTAGTTTCAAAAGATTTTATTTTGTCTCAAGTTGACGAAATAGTCTATAAACTCTATAATCCATCCACGTTTCGATGTTCTCCGAAGACCCAAAGTATGTGGGGTGAATTTGTGAAACAAAATTAGTCAAACCTTTTACCAAGTACCAACGGTTTGGTTGGGAGAAAATGGAGAAATAAGAAGAAAAAAAAGAAAGAAAGAAGAAATTTATCTCTAGAGTAAAAGAATATAAAAATACTAAAATAGGAGCCCTTAATCTTTTAAAACCAAAATAGGAGTATAATAGCAGTCTGGTGTAAAAGAACGTGTTAGCTGTGTGGTAGAAAAGTGATGACAGTGTAATCAGTGATCCGCGCGACGACACTTGGTGGTCGCCGACGACAAATGACAATGTCGCGGTGATAGTGTGACAGTTATAATAAGACAATGTGGTGAGTGTGACATTATAACAATGAGAGTATGAACTCCTATTTTGGTCTTAAAAGATTTGTGATTCTTATTTTGGTATTTTCGTAATTTTTTACTCCTGTTTATGGAGTTCTTCCAAAAGAAAACACAAATTTATTTTCATGTAATATTTTTTGTTTGGTTAAAAGAATAAGCAGAGGAAAGAGAGAATTAGAGCATGCTCTTTAGGACTAGAAAAAAAGGGTAGATGTTGTAAAAAAACTAGAAAAACCTAAAAGGAATTAGAAAATACCAGAAGAAACTGGAAAAACTGGAAAGGCATGGAAAAACTGAAAAAATGGAAGAAACTGGAAAATAATGGAAAAAGCTAGAAAAACTAGAAAAACTGGACAAATTAGAAAAACTTCAAAAAATTATTTAAATGTATTTTACATAGTAATCTTATTATAATTGTTATTTTTCAAACAATACGTGATTTTTCAATCCCTTATAGCCAACTCAATTTCGCCAAACCTATATCCAAACAATCAGAACAAATCAAACTCGAACTGGTCATGCTTTAATACCATATTAAGGTCACTAGGCTCAAATATTCATTTCATATGGATGTGGAAAGGGTTACCGGATTAGGTCGATCATAACATAACATACTTAGGTTGAACAACATTAAAAGATTAAATATAATATATTTTTTAGTTCAATTTAATACCCACTCCGTCCCGGAGTATTCGTCCAGTTTTGACTTTGGAAACTGTTCATCTAAGCACTTTGACTCATCAAATTCTCTCAATGTGTAAGCCTAAATATAGTCATGTGTGATCTTGTTTGATTTGTCTTAACATATAGATTATTAATATATAATTTCTATAATTTTTTAATATACAAATTACAAGATAAAATGGATTAAAGAAGTGTATTGGATGATGTGTAAAAATGAAAGTGGACAAATACTGGGACGGAGATAGTAACTTATATACTGATTATTTTTTTCTCTTAAGCTTTCGATGTAAGATACTTTAACCAATAGAGCAAATAATGTTATGTTAATGACAAAATAAAAAAAATGTTTCCAAAAAAAGATCCTATGAGTAGATATCTTTATGGGACAAATGGATGTGGAGGACGAAAGAGACTCGTTGTGACTTATGAGTTGTGTATAAGAACCTAAAAGGAGTCTTTGTTTCACCCTTTCTTTCCTCCCTACAAAAAGTCTCTAATCAGCCTTCTTTTTCAACGGGCATATGACGGATAGCAAAGAAACCCCGGACTGGGTACAATTCTATCAGCGCAACGTACAACCCCAAAGCACCGTTTTCGGCACGGCGGCAGCCGCCACCGCCAGCTCACCTCCTCCGTCCTCCCACGGGCAGCTCGGCATTAGCCCCGAGGGCCGGGTGGCCAAGCCGGCCCGGCGGAGGCCGAGGGCGTCCCGCAGGACTCCCACCACGGTTTTCAACACGGACGCGTCGAACTTCCTGGCCATGGTCCAGCAGTTCACCGGCGGCGGCCTCGCCCTGCTGCCGCCGCCGTCCCCGTTCTCGATATCCGCCGCGGCCGGGTTAGGGTTCCGCTTCGGGCCGCAGCTGCAGCTAGAAAATCTCGCTTTCCCGGCGAGGTCATCGTCGTCGCCGGCAAGTAATAATTATAGCATGATGTTCGAGCAGCACCAGCCGTCGCCGTGCGCGTCGCTGATGACGAGTGCTAATTACGGCGGCGGCGGCCATGAACAGCATTTTTTGGGTAGAGCGTCATTTCCGCCGCCGCCGCCGAACCACCACGGAGGATCTTCTTCTGGGGACGATCAGAATAGGAGTGAAACGAATTACATGCTTTGATTTTTGCATGTGAATCTTCATAAGTATTCTTATACTCCGTATTTTTCATTCTCTTTTAATAATCTTCATGTTTTATTACACTCTCACTAGTACACTAATTCATTGAAGTAATTTTTATTGGTCAAAAATCCATCCCATCAATAAATGACATCTTTCTTTTTTTGGTTATTCTTCAAAAAGAAATACTCCCTCCCATGTGACCCGTTACCCTCATCATTTCAAAATTTACATGGTTGCCGTTTGTTATTTTAATATTCTTACGTCAATGCTTTTATAGGCTAAAATACTCTTCAAATATTAAATGAATAGCGACACTGTTCCTATGGTTTTAGAAATGGGCACCAACATCCATCACATTTTTTTCTTTATTATTTTTCTTTTTTCATCTATTTTTCATTAGTATTTTTGAAGATCTTTCTTATTAAAACTTTTTCATAACTGTTTTAAAGTTCTTTTTAAAAACTCATTTTATACTATGTAATGATTTAATAATAAAAAACTTTGTGTTTGAAAAAAAAGTAATTAAAATAAAAATATTTAACATGCACTTCATTTTTCTCAAATTAAATAATTTTATTTTCTCCAAAAGAGATTCTTATTCGTTCATTTTCATGATACAAAAATCAATGAAAATGTTCACTTTTTTTACACTGAAGCTTATTTCAAATTTTCTAGTTTTAATTATTTTTCTCTTCATGATTTTTTTAAAAAATAATTTTATAAAGTTTTTTTGTTTAAATAAAAATTAAAATAAAATAAAAAATAATAGAAAAGAAATTGAAAAAGAAGAAAAGTATATGAAAAAATACTTTTGTAGAATAGGGAAATTAAGTTATGAAGAAAATTTGTTACACATTAATTCAAAAAAATATTATGAGTATATAATTAAATAAATATTAAAAAGACTTTACTTTGTATTCTTTTGTTCCCATAGATTCAAAAATATAAGAACTTTTTTAGAAAAAATGAAAATATTTAATTTTAGACAAATGAAGTATATTTTAAATTTTTAATTTCAAACACCAACAATTTTTATTTTTTAAAACATAATTTTGAAAAACAACATTTTCATTATTCACACACAATCATTTTTCTTCTCTTTAAGTAAAAAAGAAGAAAAAGATAGTAAAGAAAAAAAGAGGGGGTGTTGGTGCACATTTCCAAAATTATAAGGGGCAATGGAGCTATGAAGAGTATTTTAGTCAAGAGGTGCACTGATGTAAGAATTTTAGAAACATATGGGGCAACGACGTAAGTTTGAAACTATATTGAAGTAATGGTGCACATTTACCCAACCACAGGCCGTATTGGTGCAATAAACTCTTCTGTATTAGTGTATTTGTTCAGTTCTATTTTTTCGTGTCAAATAAAATAAATTTTGAGTTTCAATTAAACAAAAATTTTAGTACTCCGTAATATATTATAAATATAATAATCTTTTTATATTTTTTCATTAAATATAAATTTGTTTTGACAATTTGGTTTAATTTCATTATGTGCAAATTGACCTTTAACTAGAGTTTTTCTACTCCGAAGTATTTTTTTGTAGATAAGTATAAGAATATTAACAAACATTTCAAATAGTATTTTGTTATCATTCGTTCTCTGAAATAGAAACTAACTTTCATAAGCATTGCTTGCATTTTATTATTCATTTTTTAATTTTTTTATCTTTCTTTATTCATATGTACTTTTGATTTTCAAAAATAACAGATTTTGTTACATTTTATGGTATAAATTAGGTAAGTATATATTCATCCCGATTTGAACAAAAATATCCCGAACCATACCGACCTGATACTTCGGGATCAGAATTGGTATGACGTAAATCTCATACCGAACCAAAATATTTGGTACAGTATCACTACGAGCTAAATATCGTATCATATCGTGCCACGCTCACCCCTATTAAAACCCCTTTTTTGTGTTTGGTGAAGCTAAAAGATATTTGAATTTGATATCTTCAGACATCAGAATTTATCCAAATGAAGAGTTTTGATATCTCTTGAATTTGGGGGATATCAATATAAATATTTGATATCGCCGTCAACCGTTGATCATTCATCGCTACCGGATACCACTATCACCGCCAACCACCTCTATTGTCAACCACCCCACCTATCACTAATTAAATCATGATTTTAGTTCACTGTATCAACTTCGCTTTAGATGTCAGAACATATACTATTTCTCTCAGATTTTTAAATACATATCATATCATACTTCGGGAAGTCACCAAATGGGCCCTAAGTAATGCTCTTATAATCTTATATGAGAGTATGTTCTCTATCTTCAAATTGAGTGAGAGTGAATGATACTCCACACGTCCTCAAAAGATTACCATATTTTAGTTTTTTCAAATCATATAATTGTTGGAAATTTTATGTAAATTGGACTTTTTCGGACATAAATTCGGTAGGGTCCACAAAATTATTTTTCGAAATAATTATGGACGTTTAATCTCGTAAGTAAGACGGATGTCTCGACATATGACACGCCATAAACGGTGCTAGGGTGAATGAGAAATTAATTCTCAAAGTTGAATGCTAAGGTAGAGTAAATACATTTGTCCCACACCGGTTTCTAAACCTTTCGTATTCTCATATTTAAGCTTTGACATTCAATTGAGCTTATGAAAGGAACAAGAAGAGGACTCCTTGCGCGCCGCCGTCCGTCCGGCTCGGCGCGCGCGCGTCACGTTGGGTCGGGGTGTGGCGTGGCGCGTCGCGCCCGCGTCTGCGGCGTGGCGGGACACTTCGTGACTAACGAGATCGAGTTAAAAACGCGTGGACACTTTGTGACTAACGAAGTGCCGTTGTAATGAGCATGCATGCACTTGAGACCGAAGAGACAACCATCTCCTCGTAATCTCCGACCAGGGGCGGAGGGGGGGACGCCCCCCCGGCGAAGGGCTGGCGAAGAATATTTATTACCGGTGTCTGTCGGGTATGGTTGCTCTGACGACAAGGGAAGTGCCCCCCCGCCCCCGCGTGCGACGGCCAAAGCGGAAGCTTAAGCTTCTGTCTTCATTTCATGAATAACTCCGTAGGTTTTTTTAGTGAAGCGACGCCGTTCTTTTTTAAACTAAAGACCCCAATAATCAGCCAAACGACATCGTTTATGTTATTGCTACGATTTTATATAAAAAACCTTCCGTATGACCTCAGGCTCCATTGCGTTCCTCTCAAATCCAGGCTTCAAACGCAGGGATACAATTTTGGTTTAAATTTTTAATTAAACCATATAATTTATTATGGATTTGTTTTGTGTAATTAAAGTGTGATTTTGGAAAAGAAATTGGATGTCGTATAACTAATGATATTGTCATGATATAGAATATTTTTTTATTTGAAATTATAGTTATGGATAAATTTGTTACTCCATGATAATCCCAATGCTGTTATTTTGAAAAAAAATTAAAATTTGTAAAATTAATACTCTGTTATAATGTTATTTTATTGTTATATGTTGACTTACTCAAATGTTTATTTTGAGATATAATTTATTATTTTTAGTCTTTTTATAATGTTTTTAAACAAATCCTTACCATTCCCTCGGACCCAATGTGCCCCCCGATAAGCAGCTCCTGGCTCCGCCACTGTCTCCGACGGTCCAGCGAAGAGCCAAGAATTCCCTCCTATGAAAGGAGGGCTTGGCTGCAGGAGAAGAACACACTCAAAAACTCTATCTCTCTCTGCAGTAAAACTCTTCCGGTGAATCCCCGATTTCTGATCAACTTTTCCGGCGATAACTTTCCATCGTTCTCGTTCGCCGGTGCTCTGTTCTACCGCTCTAGACTTAGCACGTTGCGGTTTTATCCTGGGAGGAGGTTGCCCACGTTTGCCAGTGCGGGAGGCGGGCAATATTACCTTAAGAAAAGCTTCGGCGACTCCGCTTTCCTAACCTTCACTTCGAGAAACTGCTCCGTCGAATCCCCGATTTCCGATCATCTTCTCCAAAGTCACGGCCTTGCTGTCTGTTCGTGTTCTCCCAGTCCGTTCGAGCTTCCGAAGACTCCAGTTTTATTTTCTTTATTTCTCGTTGTAAAATCCGAACGGTTTATAAGTTCGGATTATTATTTTTTTATTCCCGCTGTAATATTCAACAATAACACTTTGAGCATAATATAAATACAATTTTAAAAAAATAAATATTATAAAAATTTGATATATCAAAACTATATTTTAAAATTAACCTAATTTTAGTAAATATATATTATACATAATAACTAAATATATTTTTTTACATTTTATTGTCAAAGCGTTATATAAATTGACTAAAAAACTTAAACTGTAGTAATATTTTTGAAACAAAAAGAGTGTTTTTTGTGGCATAAAAGTGTATTTTGCTCCTACTCATAACACTTTGAGGATAACACTTAACTTTTTGTTATCCTTGTTTCAAGGTATTCGGTAAATTTTTGAATCAATTTTGAATCAATTTTGATAAATTGTCAGTTTAACTTTTTTGAATCAATTTTGATAAATTTTTAGCATGAACTACTGTATTTAAAAATTTAATTGAAAATTAGTACAAAAATGATCTCATTATATTTATCGAGCAAAAAATTATTAGAAACGTCTTTCATTATATCAACATGCAATACAAATTTAAAATGATTGATGATTAAAATTAATCTAATTTAAATTTGAAGTCAAACTATACAAATATTACAAGGGAAGGAATAATATAGAAAAAGAATTTCCCAAACGGAGGACTAAGATAAAAAAAAGATCAAAGAGATCTACGTTTTTTCAACCATTTTAATTATTATTTAAATAAAACAAGACCATTTGCGTCAAAATCGCTATTAAATGCACGGTTTACTGTACTTATAAAGGTCAATAAAATCCAGTTTTACTGTTCTCTTCTTCCTTTAGTTTTAACTTTTTTTGTGAATTTAAAGTACTACTCCGGTACTACGTATCTCTCTTGGTTAAAAAGTACTCGGTAGTTATTTTTTTTTAATTTTGCATATATTTAGCTAAAATATGAATTTAATATGGAGTACTCCCTCCCTTCTAATTTAAATTGTACATTTTGATTTATAATATTTGAATGAAGTTACCTTTAGTTTTTTATTTAAAAATTACATCTAAGTACTTAATTAAAAGTCATTCTCCTTTTGACTTTTTTTTTTTGTAATTTTAAAAATAATATTTTTGTGTTATTATCCTTGATGTGATGGATAAAAGTAGGATGTGATGAGTATATTATTAGACAAAAAGTATGATGTGAAAAACATGGTAAGAATTAGTAAAAGTAATGATTTTTTTAGATTAAATTCCATAATAGGTTCCCGGTTATAGGTCATTTTATATATTTAATCCCTACATATCAAATATTACTAATTTAGTCCCCAATTATTATATTCATTTCCACGAATGATCTTTTGTTAACATTTCCGTTAAGAACGTGGATAAAATTGTAAATTCGCATTCCTTTCTCTCCTCAATTAAGCTTTCTCCCTCCCCTCATACTCCTTTCTCAAACCTGTCGCTAAGTTTGAAGCTTTGAACCCAAAACCAAAATCATCACTCTTTTTTCAATTGTTTGTCTAACTGGTAGAACCCAAATTCAAAACCAGTAACCTTCATGGATGAGTTTTGATGTTTATTTTCTTTGCAATTTTTTGAGACTAACCAATAAAACTCATCCATAAAGCTTATTGATTTTAATTTTATGTTCCAGCAGGAAGACTAATAATTGAGAGATGAATGATCATTTCAGTTTTGGGTTTAGAGCTTCAAACCCAGCGACGAGTTTGGGAAAGAGTATGAGAGGGAGGAAACTTAATTGTGGGAGAGAAGTATGGATATACAATTTTATCTATGTTCTTAACAAAAACGTTAACAAAGGACTATTCATGAAAAATGACATAATAATAATAATTGGGGACTAAGTTAGTAATATTTGATATGTAGGAACTAACTATGTAAAACGACCTATAACTGGGGATTTTTTTATAGAATTTACTCATTTTTTTAATAGAAAAGAGAAATTAATTTTGCGACAAGAAAAAAAGAAAGTAGAAAGATTCTAAGCAAAAGGGAAAGATTTTTCGACTTATATTATGGGAATTGTGTCTGAGGTATTTAAAAATGCAAAATTAAGATGTTGAGTGCGATATAAAAGTGTGATCTCAACAATTTAGAATACAAATTATGTTTAAGGACCATTTTCAAAATAAAAAAATTTGTAAGGATGACTTAACAAAATACTTTTTACATGAATCAAAAAACAAGAAACGTATATTTTACAGAGACTAAAAATATCTATAACTCTTAATTTTAATTTGAAAAACAATTTTCATGTACACATATACGGAGTAGGTAGTACTCCGTAATTGTCAAAGAGTTACGGAGTATATTCCATGGACTGCAAAAAAAAACACTTTTTTTTGTGGAATATCTTAAAAATAATGTATCCATTTGGGGTTATTTTAACCCTACAAAATACAATCTTTTTCTTCAAGATGTGTAAATATTTTTTTCTCCAAAATCGAACCATTACTTTGTAACTATGTGCCATATTTTTAAGGGGAATGCTAGGGATACCCCATTTAGGGTACCCCTTTTTGTACACCATGCATCCTAGCCCTTCATTTATTTTTTTATTTTAAATTTTTTTTCTGAGCAATGCTAGGGATACACCAAAAGTGTACCCCATTTGTCCCCCACTCCATTCTCCACCACTCATTTTTATCTACTTTTTATTTATTTAATTTTTTTTAAAATTTTTGCCCATTTTTGTGGTAATGGAGGGGTGGGGGACAAATAGGGTACACCTTTGGTGTATTCCTAGCATTTTTCTTTTTTTCTTTCTCTTGCTTTGTGTGGTGGAGATGGAGGGGGTACAAATGGGGTACCCCAAATGGTGTACCCCTAGCATTTTTGTATTTTTAAATACGGTGAGTTCTAGTGACACCGGAGTACGGTGCCACTAGCGGTGTCACTGTACTTTTGGAGCACCTCCGGTGCTCCGTTCGCAAAATTGACGGTTC